ACACACATACACACACCCCACAGGAGACACACACACACATCACAGGAGACACACACACGCACACACACACACATACACACACACCACAGGAGACACACGCACATCACAGGAGACACACACATGCACACACACATACACACACCACAGGAGAAACACACACCCCACAGGAGACACACATACACACACCCCACAGGAGACACACACATACACCCCACAGGAGACACACACATACACACCACAGGAGACATGCACACCTCCCCACAGGCAGCAACCCCCACAGGTGAACACCATTCAACGCTACTCCCATACACTCACATGCCATACTCACCCCTCACACTCACCACCACACATACCACATACACAGACCTGTGCATAGCACAGTCGCTCTATCCCACACATCCTCACGCATACCACAGGCACACCTCTCTCACCTAACACCGCACACCCCACAGATGATCTCTTGGCTCAGCCCACTGCTCTGTTAAAGTTCAAAACAGGGGAAAGAGGGCCTCAGCTGAGAAACAAGCACGTTAGAAGCGTGTCTCTGCGGGCAGGCCCGGGGGAGCGAGGGGCTGCCTAGGGAATCTTCCAGGGCTGTTTTGGCTGCCCATGAGAGAAGCTTCCAGAGGCTCCCCCTCCTCGGCCTTCTGCACACAGGCGCCAGAACCCCACAACGTCTCTCCACACGGTTCCACCTCCTGCATCCTCCCTGAAAGGCTTTGTTTGGGTGACTGCTCCCCATCAGCCCAATTCCCCCAGATAAATGCTCCAGAGTGAATTCCACGGATAAACAAACCACCTTTGGATTTGTGTTTAAAAACAAACAAAAAAAGTGATTTTATAATTTATAATTATAAATTATAATTTCTTTATAATCCCTAAATGTTGAATAACCATGATTGCCCTCAGCCTCAAAACCTTTCCTCACCTTTCCTGGGTTTCATCTCGGGGGGCAGGTGGAGGCTGGTGTCCAGAAAATCTTTGGGGTTACAGTCAGCCCCCACAGGGTGTGTGTCTTGCCAGGGAAGCCCAGGGAGGGAGCGTGGAGGTGAACACGTCCTGGAGGTGCATGGTGGCCGAGGGCCTCCTCTCCTGAACACACCCAGCTGTCCCCCAGGCCTTCTCCCCACCGGCTCATCCCCCACAGGCCAGCCTCGTGGGGCCGGGAGCCTGTAGTTATATCTAGCAGGCTCTGGGGGCGGTCAGGGTGGCCCTCTCTCTGTTGATACACGAATGCCAAGTCTGCCTGTGCCGAGAGCTGCTTGCTTCAGAGCCCACGTGACGGCCACCACCGGCCCGACTATGCCTGCAGCACCCTAGACCCTGGCAGTCAAGCGGAATCACTGGCCACTTAGGCCCCAAGTTAGTCCCCATCTACTGGAGAGTCACTCACACTGCCCTGAGCTTCCCAAGGGGTCACTAGTCCTCGGCCACCTCCACACTTGGGGTTCTCTGTCTTTACCTTTATGGGAACCTCACATGAGGAAGATTCTCAAGTCAGGCAGGTGGCAGGAGGTAGCAACAGCAGTGTGGGTTCTGGGCAGCTGCCACTCAGCTGTCCACTGTGAGCACAAAGACCTTTGACTCACACACCTCACATCCAGACTTTTTTTTTTTTTTTGTAGAACTGGGGTATAGGCCACAGGTGCAGTGGGTGAGAGAATCCACCACAGACAGAGTGGGGAGCAGGACAAGGGGATGACTGAAATATACTCTGAGGGGAACAGCAGGTGAGACAGGAGATGCTGCTGTTGCAGCATCCACACCTTTGCATGAAATATCCTGGCGTTTAACTGTCAGCACGTACTCCCACGCTCCCTCAAGCACCCCAGTACCCTGTCTGCAGACTGACGGTAGACAAGGTGGCCAGTTCGAGACTGGTGTCTGCAAAAGGATGTCCACCCCCGAGGTATCCACCCACACTGAAGGGCACAACCTGGACACTGACGGCCTGCTGTGGGAAACCTCTCAAAAGGGGCCCCTACAATGCATTTCTAGAAAGAGCGTTTTGCTAGAAAAGGCACCATAATATCTACAAAGCAGTTCATTTCCAGTGGGCCAGTGAAATGAGAAGAGCCCCACTACATTAAGCCAGCGAATCCACTGACTTTCAGTAAGATGTATATTCAAGTTTGGAATATCATTGATCATTTCTCCTCTGTCACTGTAGCACAAGTGTTTAGAAATATGTGAGCAAGTGATTAAATTCATTGATTGCACCTGTTTTTACACAGTGAGGTCTTTTCTCATTCTGAGCCTCCTCGGGCATGTGAGGTGACAAAAGAAGGTCTCCCTGTTCCAGGCAGGTATCTTGGGGCCCTTCAGAGGAGGCTCTGGCCGCGCCCTCTGAAATACCAGGTGGATTCACACGAATTCAGAAACCCCTTCATCAAGCTTTGAAGAAGCTTCATGCTTCTACCATTTTTTCTACTAAATCTCCAGAAGGGTTTTCACTTTGGAGTAACTGAATATTTTCCTGCATTTGTATCCTCTATTTGATATTTATTTAGTCTTTCTACATGTCTTTACTTAGTTAATACCGGGAGAGATAAATACGGTGGTGCCTTTGCAGTGAAGCTTCAGTACATTAATATAAATTGTACACTAATTCCCCCAAAGCATATATATGTTGTAAACCTGAAGACTTTTCACACAGCTGCTTATTGCTAAACAGTGCCTTGTCCAGAAGGGGACAATCTGTGTCTCTAATTGCTGTCACTGAAGCCGAGATTCATTATGTGACTTTCCCATTAAAATGTGAGCATTAATTTGTATAATGAAATATCACCCACTGCAGTGTTCATTAGCTATGCCCTACTGTATACGGAACATTGTTAGCTACCTAGAAACTGTAGTTAATTTCACTAATGGATATTTCCCTACTTAGTGTTTGGTAGGAAATTTATACTGTAACATTACCTCTTAAACTTTTAAGGAAATTTAAATTCAATCAATTATTTTCAACAAAAGTTTGGGATGTCATTAAAGCAGGAAGAGCAAGGATGGGGGCTGTGGAAAAGGAAAACGGGCTTTCCGTTCCTCTTGGAAATAGAAAAATGATAGAATTTGAATCTAAAAACAGACATCTTTACCGCGATGTCTGTTTCCACTAAGGAAGGGCCACGCATTTGCTCGGTTTAGGAACAAAACTGAAATCTGGACCAAACGTTCCCGAAAATGTCCTCCATGTGCTCTGGTAAGTGATCACACAGCCTGGCTACCTTACCCGAGGGAGGCATGACAGGAGCGCCAGGTAAGGTGTGTACACAGGTGCACTGTTCCTGGGACAGACGAGACCTGCCCCCTCCCACACCTGTACCAGGGTTCTCGGGAAGCTCCCGGAGGATGCAAAACAGTTTCCAAAATGGCACAAGGACTTTGCCATCCCTGTGAGGCTGGTGGCTTAGGACCCTCCTCAGGCCACGATACCACCTGCTGTACCTCACAGTAATGGTGGGGAAACTGAGGCACGCGGGGCAAAGAGGACCTGGCCTCCGGCCAGCGAGAGGTGGGCTGGAAGAGCCAGGTGCACAGTACTTCCCTGTGAAATCGCCGGGAGGCTGCGTCAACACACCTTGTGGGCACAAGTCACTTCCTTTCCTCCCGCTGGTTATGGTGTGGACACACACTGTCAAAGAAATGGTGCATTAATTGCCTAAAACAAGCCAAAAATTAACCCGATTTTCAATACGACGCTGTGGTGAGGAGACGGACTCCAGGGAGGCAGACCTGGGCTACTAACCCGGCACTCCGCACAGGCCAGCTCCCTGTCCGACCTCAGTTTCCCCACTGCGCAGGGCGGGAGTTGAGCGGATTCGCTGGTGGTCAGCACGGCCGGGACGCGTGTGAAAGAGCCCCCCTGTGACTACTGTTTGGGTAGTTGCTCTGTCCCTGTTGGCTGGATTTTTCAGAGGCCAGTTGGTTGCTATCTTGCTGTGTAGACATGACTTCGGCCATCAGGCCAGTGAACACCAGCCCCTCACCTCTGCAGCCCCCTGTCGGGTACACACGGCGCTTTGGGGACACTGTAGGGGAGACATCCTGGCACCTCATGACTCTCCTTTGGTCCTGTTGGGACAGGGAAACTGGTGCTGGAGACAGAATACCGGTGATGGCCGAGGAGGGCACTGGTGTCCCGCTTAGGGGCCCCAGTTGCTGCGTCATGGTGTCACCCACCCAGAAAGGGTGAATGGTAGGGGGCACGCCCCCCAGCCCACCTGGGGGAGACTCCTGGAAACCACTGCCGGCCTCCTTACGCCCATTCATTCCCATAAAGAGGCTCCCAACTCAAGGCCCGAGCAGCACACGCAGCACATCAAAACCAGATTAATAAACCACGCGCATAATTTGAGAGGGGAGAAAAGTAATGAGATTTATTTTTAATTAGTCCCTGAACTTCCGTGCCTCCAAGTTTTCACAAGTGAGGTTGTTTATTACATTCCTCTATCCTGGTCATTCCTGAAACAACAGAACCCTCCTGGGAACCCCGACACACAGGTGAGCTGGCTGATGGGGAGCCCAGGCAGTGCCGGCCCGGTGTGCTGCACACACCCGGAGCTCAGATGGGACGCACGACCCCCAGCCCTCCTGGACCCCAGCAATGCCTGCCTTCTGCACGCAAAGCACCCCAGGGCCCTCGCAGGTACCCCTCAGTGGGGCTCAAAGAGGAAGCAGCGAGGCAAAGGACAATAGCTGATGCACAAACCACTGGCTGAACTCGGGGCCCTGGGAGCGCCTGCTCCCATCCCACGCCATCACGCCATGATGACATGTTTGCTGGGGCACGTCCGAGGACGCTGACGGCTCATGTCAACCCGGCTGGGCCGCTGGTGCTCAGATATTTGCTTAAAGACTAGACTAGACGTGCCCATGAAGGTGCGTCTGGATGAAGGTAACATTTGGATGGACAGATTGCTCTGCCCAACGAGGGGAGCCCCAGCCAGTCGGGTGAAGGCCTGAAAGAACAAAAGGCTGACTAGGAAGCTCCCTCGCCTGTCTTTTTTTTTTTTTTTTAATATATATATATATCTGCATCATTCTTCCTTTTTGCACAGCGAGCTTGCTGATGGTCTTTGAGCTGGGACTCAGGTCAGGGGTTTGCCCTGTCAGCCCTCCTGCTTCTCAAGCCTTTGGGTTTGGCATGGAATTTATGTCATTCTGCTCTCTGGCCCCCTGCAGGGCCAACTGCAAATCTTGGAGCTTCTCAGCCTCCAGAATCATCAAGGGAGCCAATTCCTTATAGTAACTCTCTATCACTATCTCTGTCTATCTCTACACACACACACACACACGCTTATCTCAGCCAGCTCCCCTCAGTGGGCCACAGAGAGTGCTCTGCAGGAGCCTTGATGGGGCTACCCCTAGGAACCGAGGGTCATGGAGAACTAGGGGTCCCCAGACACCACCCCCTCTGTCTCACTTGGTGCGCAGAGACAGCAGAAACGTGCTAGCTACCTGCAGCTTCCCCAGCCCCAGGTGTTCAGAGCGAGCTGCCTGGTGCAACATCTCAGCAGCTCTCCCATAAACAGGTGCCGGGAGAGGGAGAGCAGTAATCGAGTTAATGTCGTGGGGTTTAAAAGGGAAAGTGGCTTTTATCAGTGGATGTTATATGATCATGGCTTCCTATAAAAACAGAGTCGGATAGAAGAATCTAGAGAACGTACCATCTCATATCGCAACCAATTAAAATATATTTATTACACGTTGGGTTTTTAATGTGCTCATATGGGTCCATTACAGAAAAACTTGGGAAGACGGCATCCTGAGAAACAGGCCCTGTCTCCCGGCTGCTGTCCTGCCGCCACCACACAATAACACAGAGAGAGGGGAAGGGAGGTCGTGGCGCTGACCGGCTCCTCGCAGATAACTAGGCTTTGATTTGCAATTACTCATGTAATCGACACTTTTGCATTGTCAGAATGGGTGTTTACTTCGGTGATTTCGACATGTAACATTTTCTGTTCTCTTCAAAAGCACAAGGGTAAGCATTTTCCAACTTCTTTGTTCTTTGATAAGAAGGAAATTGATCTTTATCTAGTTACCACTCTGCCTTTTTCAATGGCAATACTGCTGGAGTGGGGTTGCTCGTGTGCCTGATAGATGGTGTCCCCAAGACTCTTTCCCTTTCCTCCCTTATTCTGGAAAGTTTCCACAATGCCTGAGTCCATGGCCCTGTCTTGTGCTTCTCAGTGTCTACAAAGACCATCAGGCATGCGCACCTTAGACGGTTGTGAAGCAGGAGTTCAGGGGAAAAAAAAAGAAATCTCAACTTTTAAAATTGCTTACAACAGCACCTATTTCATTCTAGCCAGAAGCAGTGGGACTTTGGCCATCTTCATTCCACATATCTGGAATATTCTGTTGAGTGTCTACTCTCACCGAGGGGCCAGCAGGGGCCCACCGGCCAGCAGAGCTCCCGGCGGGGAGGCCGGCCCTTCCTCTCTGACCCTCCCTCCCGGGCAGACAGAGCCAGCCTCGCTCTGGGGAACCAGCACCACCTCACAGGCGGGCCCAGGCACCAGCATCTACAGCCACTGAAAGGGCAGCATCTCAGGCCGGGCCTAGGGCTTCCTACTTCTGCCGACGGCCCACTGGTGGTTGCCTGGTGAACTGTGCCCCACATCCTGGTGTCCGTGGGTGCCGCCAGGACTACGACCACAACCCCAAAGAACCCAGTTCCAACTTGGGAAGGAAAGTGGGCACCGGGATGATCCCAGAAATCCTGCCCTGAGTCTGGCCACAGGAGGGTCTCACTGAGAACAGGGCAGGGGAGCCAAACTGAAGCTGAGGGTGAGCCGGAGCTGCCGGGCGGAGCAGCGTGAAGACCCTGTGGCGAAACTCCATGCCCCTCCCAGGGCTCTTGTGTCCTAGGGTGAGGAGAGGGGTCGTCCCTTCACAGCCCAGAATCTGACCCGCACAGCCACTGCCTGCTGGGCCTGCTGGGCCTGCTGAGGGGCCGTGGAGGGCCTTGTTTCTTCCGCGCCACCTGGCACAGTGCGGGGTTTGCAGGAGGAGAGTCGCTCACTGCTCCTGGCATGCGTCCTGTCACTCATGCTTTCAAATGAGTGGAACATGCCCTCCTGTGGGGGTCCTCTTGCAAGCCTGCACTTCTGCAATTTAAGAAAAAGGCAACATGGCCAGCTCACACTCTCCTGTGAGACCAGCAGTATATATAGAAATGAACAAGGAAACCAAAGAAGGTAAGTTTGGAACGTGCTCAGTTTACGGAGGAAATAAGGCCAGGACCTGAGGGCCATTTTAGACAGGGCTCAGGAAGGCTCTGAAGCTGAGAACACCCCGATGGGGGAGACGTGGGACAGAGGCCCCACGGCAGAGGCAGCGCTGTGCCTGGGCGAGGACAGAGGCCGTGGTTTGAGAAGGATGCTGAGGGAAGACAGCTGAGACCGTCTGGGGGTTGGATGTAGCCGTGGAAGCCTCCTCTGGCCAGGATCACCGCACAAGGGGTGACAGAGGAAGTGCTGGGAGTAGAGGGGGTCCCCGGCGTGGGCACTGGCCACGCTCCCCCGTGCCCCCTCTCTGCATGAAGACAGCAGCCCTTGGCCACAGCCCCTGTTCCGAGGGTCCCTCGGCACGAGGGTGATTTGCAGACACCAGGTGAGGTGCCAGGTGAGGGCTCTGGGCTTCAACCACACACAACACACCAGCCCCTTGTGCACGGAACCTCCCGCATAACCCTGAGCCTTATTGATTCCTTGGGAAATAGACCACAATTATTTTTGAAAATAGATGGCATATTTGTCTATCCTCTGAAGCAGCTCATACTCTAATAGATAAAGTGTCAGGAGAAAAATCAAACAAAATGGAGGTGTCCATATCTCAGATAGATTTTTTTTTTTTGTATTGGCAACATGCAAACAACTAGCAGAAAAGCAAAGAGGAACTGTTAAGGGGAAGGATGTCCTAAAGGAACTCTGCAGAGTCTTATGGACTCCACCCCCTACTCCAGCTTTCTGGACCCTACACACCACTCCAGTGATTGGAAACTACAATTCCCAGCAGTACCAGGGAGAGAACAGCGAGGACCCAAGGGCGGAGCTAGCAGGAATTCTGGGACATTTGGGGGATAAATAGGGCGCAACTGCATCTCCTGTTCTCTCACTGGGGCAATGGCTCTCTAGACCGCGTGACTCGGTGTTTTCAGTCAGCCCAGCCAAGCCGGTAATGTATCCCAGTTACTTGGTATCCCGCTCTCTTTTCCTGGGTTGTTTCCGATTCCTTTCCCCTTTTGTAAAGAAACCTGTTATTGTGTGTCCCTGCAGTGTAACTGAGTTGTGAGCGCACAGGTGAGGCCCCACAGACAGGCGACCCAGTCCACTCTGGGCTACCCTGTAACAGAACCATGACTGAGAGGCAAGGCAGAGAGGCCAAAGGAAGCCTGGCTTTTGAGGGGCTATCATGTCCCCCAAAGAGAATAGTAACCCAAGTGGTTCAGCAGCCATTTCCCCCCGTTTGGTAAAGAGCACCTCATTTTGAGGCGACCTGGTGGTGAGTCACCCATCCTCCATGCCATGGGGAGCTGGCTCCATCATCCAGGCCCAGGACCACGCATCACCCCAGCCGACCCACAGGGGCGCTGCGGAGCTCCCTGCTATACACCAAAGAGTCCCAGAAGGTTCCCTAGCCGCTGCTGGCTCATTTGCTCCTGAAAGACCTGCAGGTCGGGTCCACCTTGGAGTTGGGAGGTGCCACTTCAGGGCAGCAGGAAGACGTCACCCTCAAAAGGCCCTAGCACCCATCCGTCACCAGGGCCACAGGACAGCTAGCTACTCACTTGGAGAGGGGACACAGGACCAAGGACATTCTGTCCGGATCCACACAGTGGAGATCAGGCCCGGGGAGAAGGCGACAGTGTCAGGACTAATACTGACAGTCGGTCGGTGACCGTCAGCCCTGGCCCAGGGCGGAGGCGGGACCAGGAGGGCCTCCTTCCGGAGCTGCGCATGCGCGTCCGGATCTCTCACCTGTGTGTATCCTCAGGTGGACCTTTAGGTGATGGGATGTCCGGAAGGTTTTCCCACAGTAGGGGCAGTCCTTCATGGCCGAGCCCAGGCTCCTGTCGCGAAGCAGCGCGGGCTGCTGGACGCCGGCAGCTCTCCCAGCCTCCTCGCCAATGTCTGCATCGGAGGAGAAACGTTCTCACATCACTTCAGCACATGTCAGAAGTGGTTCGCACCAAAACTGCTAACACCACACAAAGTTAAACATGTCAATACTACACCTGTCTATTTCATTCTTTAAATCTGACAGAATGCTGACAATTCATGTATTTTCTTGTTATTCTCTTAAATTATTTCATCTTTCCTATCATCATTTTAAGCAGCATATGGTACCTTTATATTGAACTGAATTAAACAAGAAAAGAAACAGCTGTGTCAGCAGCTGGTTTGATTTCTTCTTTTGCTTAGCTCCTATTAAATATTTTTTTTCAAAAGTTTAAAAAATGTTGGTGTTGGTTGAATCTGATTAATTTATAATATGGGCGAGCTGGAGAGTTCACTATAGGATCGGAATCTCATTTGCATTATATCAAGCAACAAACGAAGACGAGGCGTCTCGACTCAGTCCCTAAGACTTGCAGACATACAGCTATTTTGGGACAGGGAAGAAAATTATCCCAAGCGGATCATTTCTTCCTTGTAGAGTCTCATGCCCATCGCTGGCTGGTGTAATCTCATGAAAGGGAGAAGAAAAAGTATGGAAATGCACTTCCACAATTAGCCCATGATAAACATATAGTGACATATTCAAAGTCATGTGCAGAAACTCAGCTGCAAAACTCCCATAAACTCAGAGCACTGCAGTTAAATCTTTGTGCAGTGACTTGAGAACTTCCTCTGTAAAGTATCAATACAAATTTTCCTTCCCACTGTTATTTGTTATGTAACCCAAACCATTAGAAAATGGAATAAAATTTACATACGGCTGCCTTCTGCACAGAAATGACGGGACATAATAGTAAATAAAACTGAAAATATCTAGTGGTTGCAGGATATGTTACTGCGGCCCCTGAGGCCTGACATCACACTGCCGAGGAGGCAGTATTGGGGAGCAGGGCCGGCGCCGGGGACCCACGTCTCCGTGAAGGAGGGACAAGCCTTCGCCTCTGGACTCTGGGCGAGTGTTTCCCCCCACCTGGAAGCCTCCCTCTCTGCAGCGCTGCAGCCTGAACTCCAGCTCCCAGGCCCACGGGGTCCTCTCCCCAGTGTCCTGTCCACCCTCCAGGCCTTGCGGGAGATCCACTGGGAGGACGAACGGGGGGACACTCTGGGATAATGAGCAGACCTCGAGTTCTGCAGAGAGCAGAATGAACAAGATGTGTAACTTCCCAGCCATGGGAAATGCAGATTGCTTTCATCCTGCCCTGTCTGCTCCTGGTCTTCCTGCTAACAGCTGAAAGGGAGAGACTTACAGGCCGTGAACAAGAGAAAGGCAAACACACTTGGCTCTTATTTGGCTGTTTGTTCCCCACCCTGAGGGAGCCCTCTGGCTGGTGTGTCCTCTCTCTTTGGCCTATGTCTACGACACTGACACCCTGGACATTTCCTAGAAGTTTGGTCTGAGATCCATGGGGGAGCTGCTGAGTGCACCCAACTTCCCAGCGACATCCCTTCAGCACTTTTCCCAGGCAGAGGACCGAGCTCCTCCAAATAGAACCACATCCCATCCCGTTTCCAGACACCCTGGAGCCCACTGGGTCCGAGCCGAGCCAGCCTCTCTCTCTGCACCACATGTTGACTCCTGGCCACCCCACAAGGGGCAGTGTGGTCAAGTCACAGCAAACGTGACCCCTGTGCAGCCACAGCAGGTAGGCCCTGAGTATACGGAGTCCCCAGGGCTCGAGCCCAAACTCTGCATGCAGGGGCCGGCTGCTAACAGTCCAGGAGATGAGCGTCAGTCCAAGCATAGACAGCCTAGGCTTAAGCATCTCCTCGCAGCCCCATCCCCATCCCAACATCACCCGCTTTCCTTCTGTAGGATCATGAGGTGAGCTTAAGATCACAATAACCCTGATTAAACATCCCCCAGTGCTCGCTGCGACAGTTAGGAAACCCTATTTAAGTTACAAGGCCGACAGCTGTCAATTTGAAATACAGGCAAAACTAAGTGCCCCGGATGGAGCAGGTGGGCAGGTGTGGACTCCGGATGTGGAGTCCCCGCAGGGGCACATGTGCTGTGGCCCACGGAGTATCTCCCCCTGAGCCTGCCCCTAAGCCCATTGTGACAGGGACAGGACTGTCCAGGAGGTTGGGGTGGAACAAGAAGGATGTGTTTCTGCTGAAGCTTCTGCTAAGTGGCTGCCCAAGGCGCCTTCTAGAGAGCACAGTGACCCCACTTCCCGGCCCTGGAAGGCTCCACAGAAGTTTTTGGTGAGCAGTGCTTCACTATATGTCCCCCAGCAACTGCCTGTATGCACATTCTTTTATCTTTCTATCTTGGATATGTGTGGCCCAATAAAAAGAATAAATTTGTAAGATAAACAGCTTCCTTTGCAGATTTAAGAGTCTCATTTTCGCTTTATACAGACATGGCTTTTTTTGAGGACCAGAGGGCCTATAGCGTTTACTCTTGGACTAATCCAACTAGAAAAACAAACTGAGAGCAACCATAGAGGAGAGTGGTGGGTGGTCCCAGGATGTGTCCAGAGAGGCTGGAAGCCAAGTCCCTGGGCGCCAAGGAAGCTCCGGCCCAGCCACACACACACACACAGGACCCGCCTAGGTCCAGGCCTTATCTGGAGGGGCGGTCGGGAACCCCGGGCACGCTGGTGGCCCAAGCACGCCAAGAGTCCACGAGGCTCACTCGAGGGCGAGTCGGTGATGACAGCCCAGGGTAGCATCCCAGGATTCGCCTGCACCCCAGGATTTGCCTACAGACAGCCCTCCCCCAGTGCCCCAGAAACAGGCGATACAAAGAAAGAAGCATCAGGAGAGGTGCCTCTGTGACCCTTCACCAGACCTTTTGTGAACTGGTTCAAGTTTTTAAAAATATTCCTTTTCCTGCAACATGCATATCTCTTCCCTCTAAGCAGACACTTTCCCAAATGGGCTGGGTGGAGACAGAAGGCGGACTTGTGGACAGAGGTCAGGCTGACGCCCATCATCTGCCACCCCTGCTCACCTGTGAAGAGACAGCGCTGAGGCTCCTGGAGACCCAGACGCCCCGTTTGGGCACATCTGGCCACAGGCTCCTGCCTAACACAGACTCAGCCTGGGAGTGCCCAGGGGACTCAGATGACAGGGACGTGGAGGGAAATGTGTCTCTTCTTGACTGTTAGATGACGTGAATTTTGTTCTTCAGAAATGGGTGTCTTACATGAGTACAGTGGTTTTCCAGAGGATGCAGGCTGTGGGTGCAGCCCCTGCGTACAAACAAGTGAATTGCAATAGGTACCCCAAATTCTGCTTTCTCCTACTCTTGTGAGCTGAAAGTAAATTGCTAAAAATGGGAAAGGACCCAGTATTTCAAGTTGTGCTTCAAGAATCCAAGATTGGCGGGGTCAATTATCAGGAAACTGGCCTTTCTAATTTGTCTTCTCAAGGTCAGATATCATGCCGCCTACACTTCCATTTGCTTGTTCCAAGGTGAGCCTGGGTCTAGGTGACATTAATGCTGTCATCCCCTAAGTATGGATGAGGGAGCTCCCACAGCTGTGGGCTGGAAGAGGAGCTAGGGAAATTAAAAATGGCCATGGATCATGTTAGCATCCTCACCATCAACTGAACAAAGAATCAGAGGCTTAGAAAGACAAACAACTTTTCCAAAGTTGAAACCTAGACATATATAAGTACTATCAGCAGCTCCCTGAAGCCATCTCTGAGGTAAGCTGTCTGACTGTCCCCAAATATAAATTGAATTTTTGGGTGTCCCATCATAGACATAACCTTACTGATATATAATATGATTGGAATTTAAAAACATGGTTTATGAAAATTTTATGCTTTAAGGGAAGAGTCCATTCCCCACCTCTGGCCCTGATGCCCTCCAGTAATTTCCCTAGTGTGTATTTAAAATAGGCTTGCTCGCCAAGATGGCTGACCCAGGAGTCAGCATCTTCTCCTTCTGGGTTCATAACGCCTGGTTGTCTTGAGGCCCAGGCTTCATGGTGCCCCTGACCCTTGGATCCATCAGCCCAAGGGGACACAGCTTTCAGGTCTTTCAGCCCCAGCCGGCCAGTCCAGCCCAGACTGGCTTTGCTCACTTCCTGCAATTTCATCTACCAAACCTAGCCTCACCCTACAGTCCAATGAAAAACAAGATGAATCTTTGGGAGTCAGGAGGAAAGCACTGTGCAGGTGCTGCTAAGTACCCCTCGTTTCCCTGTATTTCCCAACTTCCCCTGCCCAAATTGAGGCCAGGTGACGGATTCTGCTGCCGCCTCCCTTGCGTCCCACAACTTTGCAGCATGAGGGTTGTAAGGACAAACGCACAGAGAGGAAGCTCCAAGGTGCCTGAGTCACCAGGTGGATGTGAGTTGCCCTGCCGCTGACTTGGTGTGAATGACAACCTGGTTTTGTTAGGTCACAGAGACTCGAGAGGCCACTTGTGAAAAGGAATCAGTAACTGATTAAGAAAAACAAACCCACTGATGAAGTCTTCTGGGTTTAGGGACAATCTTCTAGGTGATCCTATTAATTCACGGGATGAAAGAGAGAGCAAGAGTCAGATAGAACAAACGAGCAAAGTGAGACAGAAAAAGAGAAAGAAGAGAGGCCCCTTTTTAAATTATGTATCGCCAGTTCTCACTCCATCCTAACTGAAGTCTTAAATGTCATACACCTAAAACTATATTTTGGAAAGATTTCCATTAAAACATTTATAGTGATGATGATGATGATGATGATGATGATGATGATGATGATGATGATGATGATTCCATTCTGGGAATGGAGAGTTACCCCAGAAGCCTGGAAAATATAGCACCTGGGCATTTTCTACTTTATGATATAAAATGCTATGGGATTTTAACTTCTAGGGAACATTTAGTATAACAGTAAACACATTTTCCCAGGTGAACTGTGCAGTTAATGCTGAAAGTGTGCCTCATGCAAAGAACATCTTAAAAGCATGTTTCTTACTTCAATAATAGAAAAAAAAAACTATTTGTGGGTTTAGG